TTGCTCCTCAGCTGCAGTAAACCTCAGCCCTCTGGAACTGCATGAGGCCAGGTCCCAGCAGCTTCTCTGTGGTCCCGTCCCATCTCCTGCGTGGCCCGTGGCACTGGGCACTTGGTGTGCTCTTGGAGACCCTCTCCTCCCATGGCCTCCCAGGCCACCGCTCCACTGCCCACCCCCTTGGTCCACTTTCCTGTGCCTCTTTCACCCTTGGGTAACGGGTGGCACCCAGTCAGGCTTTTCCTCTCTTTCTTCTCCTGCACAGCCTGGCTTTTGGAAGTGTGATCCACCGTCACTACTGCGTTCACTTCCCACCCCATGGTTTCGATGCCCACCTCCGCCTTTCACGGAAGCCACTCTTGCACTGTCTTTCCTTTCTCACTGTCCTTTGAGCAGGGTCCTCATCTTGCACTGACCACTCTCATTCCGGCACCCGGCACTGCCCTCGTGAAAATCCCCCGGGGTGTTCAAATAATTGCCATGAACCCATTGGTGAGAGATGACCTTGGTTTCCTGGTGTTGGGTCATGTTCTATCACTGTCCCATCAGCCATGGTAGGGATGGGCCAGAGCCCCAGTCCTGTGCTCTGGGGTCTGTGAGAGATGTGGCCTTTGAAAAGATGATGGGCAGGGCCGATAGCAGAAATTTAAAGTCTGATTAGAGGATTATTCCCTTTCACCAGGTTAAATAAAACCAAAAAGGTCTAGATATGGAGAGATCCTCAGATCCAACAAAATGAAGTTACCTCCAAAGAAGTCATTCCCCGCTAAGAGCCAGTTTCCTCCCATCGAAAACAACAGTGTTCCTGACATGAGCTCCAGCAGTTGCCTGGGCCCTAAAAGCCTTCCCCACACACCATGTGGCCAGCAGAGAAAAGTGTAATGGCTATGGTTATTGCTAGTTGGACAATCCAGGCTATTTAGTGTACACACACCATATGACAGAGCCATGTTGAAAGCCGCAGAGCAGGGGGCCCATCCTGAGGCCGTGGCCTCTTAGGAAGTATTTACAGTCACTCCCCATCACTCAGGTCCGCCTGAGTCCCGCCTCCCATCCCATCTGTATTTACAGCCACTCCCCAGCACTCAGGTCTGCCTGAGCCCCGCCTCTGTTTCATAATCTGTATTTACAGCCACTCCCCAGCACTCAGGTCTGCCTGAGCCCCGCCTCTGTTTCATAATCTGTATTTACAGCCACTCCCCAGCACTCAGATCTGCCTGAGCCCCGCCTCCTGATCCATCATCTGTATTTACAGCCACTCCCCAGCACTCAGATCTGCCTGAGCCCCGCCTCCTGATCCATCATCTGTATTTACAGCCACTCCCCAGCACTCAGATCTGCCTGAGCCCCACCTCCCGTCCCATCATCTGTATTTACAGCCACTCCCCACCACTCAGGTCCTCCTGAGCCCAGACTCTCGGCCCATCAGCCTCGGCACTACATTCTCTTAAGAGCCCCTGATAGGACCTTCTGAACAGGAAAACACACTCAGGGCACCCAGTGATTCTGCATGATGGTGAGCTGTGGAATTATTTCATTATAGATCATGAAATAATAATAATAGAAATAAATAACACAATCAATATAATACATTTTATTCTTCCCTAAATCTTTCCTCCCCTACCAACACACCCCCACTGCCCAACCTACCCTGCTCTGTGGGAAAATGGTTTCCCACAAGACTGGACCCTGGTGCCTGGAGACTGCGGTTACAGAGGATACAAAGAGCCAAGAGACACAGCCTTCCTCCCAAGAGTGCACACTCTAGGGGGCAAAAAATTACCCTAAAAACACGAACACCAGGAGGTACTCATTAGGGGCCTCGGGTGTGGTGTTCATCCAGAGGGGAGAGTGGGTATGTGCGAGGACACTTAGGAAAGCCGCCTGAGGCCAGTTTGCGGGGCTCTGGCACTATGGGAAAGTCTAAGTGAGGGAGAGAGCTCGGCTGTGGGATGGAGGGGGAGTACCTGCCCAGGGGACACAGAACTGTGTGGGGTCAGCGCTTCCAGACGTCATCCAGAGCCCCGGCACAAAGTTCAGC